TTAATCCTCGGTCTCATCATGCTAATAATGTATCTTGATGGTGTCTTCCATTAGTCAAACTAGATAAATCTGTCTCATTTTCCCCCAGACAGGTTATCATTCTATGGAGAAATAAAGGTGATTAGACTAAGAAACAGGTATAGCCAGCTGACAACTGGGCATAAACTAAAATCTTTTTTGGGAACATTCAGGTGTTTCCTTAATTTAGATGAGAATCTTCAATCATCATGAATTTTGAAGAGAATTCTGAGGTCAGGATTCTGATCTCAGACATCTCTTAGGTGTCTAGGGTCATCTAAGACTTGGAGGGTGTGTTCACCAAGTTCTCAACTATGAGAGACACAGACTTTTTATCTTCTGGTGCTCCATCTTCTTCACCTCACTAAGAAATTGTACTGTATACTCTTAAAGAATTATTGTCCCTTGTTCAACAGGAATCTGCACTCTAAAATGAAGTACACATATGCAGAAATTAGGTATATCTTGAAGATTTCGGTAACAGTATTTCTCTTCCAAGAAGTCCCTGACATGTGTTCTGCTTGAAAGTTTAGGAATCTTAGAATATAAGGGGAGGCAGACAAATAATGGAATATCTAGCAAAGGAGAGAAAAAGACTAGCAGAGCAAGTCAGGGTTTCTTTTTGATGAAGGTCTGGTGGTGACTACTTTCTGGTGTATTGTCTGATTCAGGAAGGTAAAGGAAAACAGAAATATCTATAGCTGCATGGGCAGCTAACTCAAGTGTTAATTTTTCATAAGATTGCCTTTGTTGCTTAGGCCACTTTCTCTAGTAATGAAGTACACTTTCTTATTGTGAAAAATTCACTATTGATTTTTTTTCCCCCAGAAGACAACACATTTTAAGAATCTCTTTGGATATGGCTTGGATTACCTGTTATTAACTCTCTTCTGCAATTTATCAACAAAGGAGGGGTGAAAATGGATCTACCCAAGTGTGATTATCACTATATCCTTCTCTTCCCACATCTTATTCATGGAAAAATAGAGGGAGGGGGACTTGCTGCAGACAGGTATTTAGAATTTGTCCTGTATTTATATAACCAATCTCCTCCCCACTCTCTCTAGCTAGCCTTTTATACTACTCCTTTCAATTAGCTAACTCTAAATGTAATCATTGCTCTTATTTATTAATTCAGTAATATGCCTCAAAACCCCTACTCCCAGTTTGATCACACTATTCTTGGATAAGTTAGATAAAAAAGCCATTCCAAACTCAAGGATTATATAATAAGCATTAAGAATCCTTGCTTATGTGTCTTTGGGTCAACTGGGGTTCAGTTGATTTAGGTCAAGCTTGACCAAGCTTCATTCCAAACCTCAGGGTAGGTTCACATATACCTTATGTTGTTTTATTTTTTTCTCATGAAGAAAATAGAAGCTCTATCTTAATCTTCTGAGACTGAATTTTACATTCTGTATGTGTGATATCTGAGTGTACCACTGACTGTTATGAAAGTACAGCAATTAATACCACTCTCTATACTGTGGTGCACTTACCTTGTGGATCTTTATATATATATATTCACAAAACTTGTAGAAAAAGCAATATTTGTAAGATTTTAATTAAGTGATGAAGTTGCATTGTACTTCAAAACAGAAAACAAGCCAGGTTACCATGTAAGAACTGGACACATCAGAACACTGTCAAAATGAGGCATTTCCATGGGCAGTCTCCCTGAGCTCCTCTGATTGAGATTGACTCTGACAAACTTCTGTGAAGTTTATAAAATCAGTGGTGGAAACCTGAACACCCTTTCATATTGATCTCGGCAAGGCAGCTGTGAGCAGTGGGATGATGAGTGATCTTAATTCCTTGTCCAAGATTTGAACCTGGGGAGCCTGGCTGGGGTGGCTCGGATGGTAAAGAATCTGCTTGCAATGCAGGTGTTTGATCCCTGGGTTGGGAAGATCCCCTGGAGAAGGGCATGACAACCCACTACAGTATTCTCACCTGCAGAGTTCCATGGACAGAGGAGCCAGGTGGGCTACAGTCCGTGGGGTCGCAAAGAGTTGGACATGACTAAGTGACTAAAACACACACAGAGCCTGAATGGAAACCAGGAATCTTAGCCACCAAACCAGCCAGGGCTAGAGTCTAGAAGCTGTTTTCCCTGTATCTCTGTCCCCAGTGAAAAATTCATTTATCCTGGAGGCAGAAACTGTAAATGAAGATACAAAGTTTATTATTAGAGATGTAGCAGCGCAAGAAGTGAAAGAGTACATAGAGAAACTGCTTGTTAAGACAGAAGCAAGGCCGAGACACACACTCAAAGAGAAAAAGTGTGGGTGTCCCTCCGAGTGAGGAGGAGTGCGGTAAGGAGGCGGTTAAGTTATTTATATAGGTCAGTTCTTTCAGGTTTTATCTATCTTTAGCCAATTATCTGGTTTCTTTTTCCACACTTCACCTACCCTGGGGCACTCCCCTGGGTGAGCAAGCACCCCTCCGCCAAGAAGGATCTCAGAGTGAAGGCTTCTGGGAAGAATAAGATTCATTATAGCCTGCCATTACCACTTGGCTTTTGACCCAGATGAAACCTTTCTGCACATGTGTAATGTCTCCCTTGTCTGAAAAAGAGGAGGAGGGAGGTCCCTTAATCTTTTACTCAAACAAGGTTTTGCCCCTCTTTGTCTTTGCCTTGACTATTTCTTTGACTATTGCCATGACTATTATCCTAAGATGCTTACAAGAGACAAACACTGGATATTTACCCTGTTTATGTTGTTACTTTCATTTTCCAGAGCAAACAGGAAGGTGTAAATCCATTAACTGGAGCCTACCTATCCAGTGTCACAGAAAATGCCAACAGTTTTAAGTATTCAGCCTGAAGCCCACTTTGCACCCTGTGAAATGTAAACAGGAGATCAGCTGTAAGCATCGAAATTGGAGCCCACCTGTCTCTTACATCAATATGTTTTGCTTCTCAGTCTTTAAGAGTATTGAATCTGTCAGCTTGTATCTTCTTCAGGACTTCAGATCATCAATATAAATAACTCTCAGTAGTCAAGTCTTTGATGCAGAAACATAAAGGAAAGAGTATCGTGGAAAAATTTATACATGAATTACAATAATTTATTCTACAATTTTCTAAATTCACTTCAAGTTTAGTTTCCTTTTAAATAGTAGAACAGATGGGAATATATATCCAAGGTAGGACCCTTTGGAATTGATTGATTCAAAGACGCTTTTGTGCTCTAAGATCAAGTATCATCTAGTTCCAGTGTTTCCAAATTTTTGATGTGCCACTACCTATATAAAAATTACCAGATGAGCTTGTTGAAAATACAGATTTTTTTTATATACCCTCTAATATTGGTGGAGATGGTTGGCTGGCATCACCGACTCAATGGACATGAGTTTGAGCAAGTTCTGGGAGTTGGTGATGGACAGGGAATTCTGGTGTGTGGCAGTCTTTGGGGTAGCAAAGAGACTGAGTGACTGAACTGAACTGAACTGAACATTGGTCTACTGAATCACAAACTCTTAGAATAGATACTGTCATCTTTTCAAAAACATCTCAAGAGGATTAAAATGATCAGACAAGTCTGGAGAGCACCGACCTAGTTACCATCTTAAAGCTGAGCAAACCCTCAGGTTCATAGAGGTCCAATGAGTCTATGTCCAAACTGGGGAAATAGATATGGATTCATGTAGTCAGAGGCAAGGGGTCTTATAACTTTTAATAACTTTTAACAATTATAGCTTTGAATTTCTTGCTGCCTTTTGAAATTTATTATCTTTAACTCTGAGTGCTCCAATAGCTGAGATCATTGTGGAAGGTACTGACAGTGTATCAATAATATGTGCACACCACACACACACACACACTCCAAAATCGCAATCACAAAGCCACATATTGATGGTAATTTAAATAATCAGACTTGTGAAAAAATAATGAAAATAAATGGCAGAGAGATAATCAGTGATGGGTTTATTGCTGTGGAAAAATAAAGCTTAGGTCGGGCAAAGAGAAGAGGAATGCGTTACTAGGGCAAGTATCATTTACCTAAGAAAGGTACGTTTATTTGTCTAGAATGACTTTCTCTAGAATTCACAGCTAGAAATCAGGTTGTGCCAGTCAAGGAAGCAGTGATAAATGACACTGTTTTCAGTAAAGGTGTTTGGTTCAAACATTGTAGGAAATATGGTTTACCAACCATGCATTTCAGTAAATTACATTTACCCTCTTGATTAACACACAGTCTTGTATTCATCACAGATATCTTTGGTATTGTTCAGTTTAAGTGTTTCCTGTTAATCACTTTACATTAATAGTGATGGCTGACTACAGACTACAAGAGTCAGTTACCAGAAGCATATAAAGAGAATGCTAAAGTTAAAATGCCTATATTAGGGGTAATTTTTTTTTCCAATTGACTTATAGTTTGAGTAAGGAAAATGAGTCCTAGAGAAAGAAAGCTTTTTCCCCAAACCAGAGGATAACAGGTCTTTTGCTTTCTAAGCCTGTGTTTTATCTCTTTGACATTCTGCCCACAACCCCTCACATCCAGACCTTACAAGGTTTAGTTTTGCTGTTTTGGAGGACTTGTACCAGAATTCCTTAGCTCAGATTTTGGTCATTTTTTCCTGAATCCTTTCATTCAAACAGCATACACATATCAAATGTTCATTATGTAAGAACCATAAATCTAAACATTAGAAAATAGCCTTAAGTATTAATACAATCACGGTGAACTCTCATTCTTTAAAGAAAATTGGAAAAAGGAAAAAAATAAAGAGGGGAAGTCTGACCATGCTGAATTTCTGAGTTTGATAGGATTTCTTTGTTCTAGATATTTCAGAAAATTATGATTATGAAATATTAGAACAAATATAATCATGATGATAAATAATAACTTGCTTCTGTAAATGTGTTATTCTCATATTTGTTCCCCTCAAGACACCCTGTGAAATTGTTATTATTGTCTTCACTGTGCAGATGAGAAACTTTGAGATCATCCACCTTGGATTGTTACTTTTTACTATTTACCATTAGTCTCCCAGAAAACCCTCCTGTCCCACAGTTTCTTCATTGCATTTTTTACTTCTGCATTTCTCAGTGTATAAATCAGGGGATTTAACATGGGGGTGATGATGGTATAAAACACAGCCACCATCTTATCCTCTGAAAAGGTAGTATCAGGACGCATATACATGAAAGTACAGGGACCAAAAAAGATGATGACCACGGCGATGTGGGAGCCACAGGTGGAGAGAGCTTTGCGCCTGCCTTCTGCTGACTGCTTTCTCAGGGACACCAGGATGATGGTATAAGAGATTAGCAAAATGACAAAACTCCCCAGAGCGATGGTACCACTGTTGGCTGTCACAACACCACCAACAACATATGTGTCTGTGCAGGCAAGTTTTAGCACGGGGTGAACATCGCAAAAGTAATGATCAATCTCATTGGGTCCACAAAAGGGTAGTTGGACTACCAGAGCCACTTGGATGATGGAGTGTAAGAACCCACCTATCCAAGTCCCCAGCAGCATTTTATTGCATCTGTCTCTATCCATGATGGTCATATACCATAGGGGTTTACAAATAGCCACGTAACGATCATAGGCCATTACAGTAAGGATGAAGATCTCAGTACAACCAAAGAAATGTACCCCAAAGAGTTGCAACATGCACCCCACATAAGAGATCGTTTTCCTTTTGGCTAATAGGTCCACAATCATCTTAGGAGCTGTGACCGAAGAGTAACAAATATCCACAAAAGACAGGTAGTTCAGAAAGAAATACATAGGAGACTTGAAAAGGTTGCCCACAAAAACTGTCAGTATGATGAGAAGGTTTCCCAGAAGAATGACCATGTAGAAGAAAGAAAATACCACAAAACACACTTCTTCAACCTCTATGTTCTGAGAAAGACCCAAGAAAACAAATTCAGTTACATTGCTTATTTTTTCCATGGAATTAGTTTAGCAGGCCAAGTTCCCAAGAGACAACTACATTACCTGAAAGTTAAAAAAAAAAAGTAACAAAGACCAGCAACATTTATTTTTAACTCAAAACAAATGAATAACCAGAATCAATAAAAATGGAAAAATGGATACTTACCACTGCTTAGAATGTATACCTAAAGAAATGGAAGTGGACATATTCTACATATTTTGATCATCTTACATCAAATGATAGTCCTTTCAGATTTAGACACAAAGTTGAAAGAGGTAAAATAAATCCTCTAAGTCACACATCTAACCAGCCCTCTCACTTCCCTCATGTTTCATAAGGATTCTTTCATCTGTTTCTAACAATTTGCTTCTTTCTGATCTGTCTAAGGCACTCAACTGAAATTTGAAACAACTTTTGAGTTTGGGAATATGACAACATCTATATCCTGAAAATGTTCATATTACTTTTCACACACACACACACACACACACACACACACACACACACACACCCATATTTTCCTGTCTGAATACTGCTATGAGCGTTCAAATAGTTGAGACTGGATGATGTTGCAGGTTCTTTTTCTTAAGGAACTGTGATATTTGTATACATGAGTTTTTGTTCCCATATTTGATATCAAACTCTCATAATAAAGAATGATGTGATATACTAGAAAGGAAAGCAAAATTATGCAAATCTGACTCTGAGATATTGGAGCTGTACCTCTAGATAAATTGTTAAGCTTCATGGGGCTTCTGTTATCCCACTTGCAAAATGAGAAAGTTTTAATTTCACTATCATCTATAACATAAAGAGCTATTTCTACTATGAAATTAAAAAACAATTCTTTCAGCTTGGAATAGCCATAAAAACCTGAAAAGGAGGCAGAAACTGAAGAAAACAATGAAAAAAACTGATGGAGTAGAGTTGCTTTACAGTGTTGTGTTCATTTCTGCTGTACAGCAAAGTGAACCAGACACACATATACACATATCCCCTCTTTTGTGGCTTCCCTTCCCATTTAGGCCACCACAGAACACTGACTAGAGATCCTCGTGCTATACATGAGGATTATCATTAGTTATCAATTTTATTCATAGTAATATACATATGCCAAGCCCAATCTCCCAATTCAACCCACTCTACAGCCCCCATTGGTATTCATACTTTGTCCTCTACATCCGTCACTCTATTTCTGCTTTGCAAATAAGTTCATCTATACCATTAAAAGAGTAGGATGGGTAGATACATTGTGATAAGTCACACAATGGAATACTATTTTCCAACCATAATGAGTGAACTAAAGCTACTCAACATAACAAATCTTCACAAAAATACATTGTAGAGTGGAAGAAGCCACCTACACAAAAAGTTGCTCTGTATGACTCTGTTATACCAAAATTAAAAGGGATCAAATTAAAAGAAACTGTTGGAGGCACATCAAGATATGTTTGATTTAAATGGAGGTGAGGGAAATCTTACTTTCAAACTCAGTGTTTGAGGATTCCCCAGGAATTGCATTGCTTTGGTATTTTATATATTTATCTGTTAACATCAATAAATAAATAGATATGGCTCATTCCTTAATCTCACTAGTCCTTCATATTTACTTATAATGGATGACTCTCCAGTGGTGTAATGCCAGACACTCTTGTGAGGTCACTGCAGCATATGTACAGATAAGAGGCATGGGGAATACCTTTGATTAAAGCCTTTCTCAAGCTGTTCTTCAAGCCAAGGAACAGATGTATTAATAAATGATTCCTTTAGTTCTGGTTTAGGATAGGATTACACAGTGTCTTAGGCAATCATCAGGAATTCTATCGACCTGAGGACACATCCCCCTAAGATCTGTTAATTCCAACTGAACTCTGTGCTCTAAGGTATGTTTTCTAGCAATGTTGTTCCTGATCTGTAAATTAGACTTGAGAGCATAGTCATTCCAGGTGTGTCTTCTCTTTTACAGTAGAAATAATGATAAAAACTGTAATAGATATAATGACAACCCAATTCAGACTCGAACACATCCCTTAAAACTTTCTCATTTTGCAGCAGGGAAAGCAGAAGCCCCATGAAGCTTAACAATTTATCTAGAGGTACAGCATCATTATCTTAAAATCAGATTTGCATAATTTTTCTTTCTCCTATACTGCATCTCTCGATGTAAGAGTTTGATATCAAATAGGGGGTCCAAAAATTCATGTACACTCTCACTCTCCTTTTGTTTTTCCTCCTGAATTAAACAAAACATTTTATTCTACACTCAGAGAGTCCTTCAGTTTAAGAGACCTCAAATCATAGCAGTTTTTAACAACTGTGAACAATGTGACTTGCTTATCATCTAAAATAAGCCGGTCATTTAAAATCAAGCCTGGGGATTCTGTCTCCATTGTCCATCCTGTAAGGTCAAGGAAGAAAGCTTCTTTCTCCCAGAATCAAGATCCACCTCAAAGAATATATTCCTCCACTTTCTGAACATTCTAAACGTACTAACACCTCATTTTCTTTGAAAGTCAAGCATTTTCCTACTCATACGTCATTAGTATCCATCTCATAGTCTGGTTTGCATGCACTTCATCATTTTATTATCATCTTAAAAATTTTATTCTCCTGCTATTTCTAAGAACATTGTCTTGCAATTATATTACAAGCATTCAAAATATAGAAATTTGATAAAATTCTCTCTTTTTCAAAAACCTTCAATGTTAGTTTTAGAACTGAAAAATCTCACCAGTATTGTCCAGAGCTTGGATTTTGCTTTGTTTTTCTATCACTCCTGAGATAATTTGGGTGCAACTATTCAAAACAAAGTTAAGAGTGATGCCTTAAGAATTGCTTTGTGAATAATTGGTTTCAGAGAATCCCTGAGTCCAGAAACTCAAAAATTGGTAGAATTTTGTTGTTCCTGGTCTGTCTCTCACCAACTGAAATCTGCCATTTTGCAGTACTGTTGGCAACAAATGCTGTTTTCTCTACATCTTATATGGTCATTTTAAAAAGAATAATACAAAATGTTAATGACACTGGGGAAAACCTTTCTCCCAAAGTACCCTCTATAATTAGAACCACTTCAGAGAAGAGTGAGCCTTAATTTCCAGATGCCTTTTCAGTCTGTTAAAAAAAATGTTGAAAGCTTTTAACTTATTAAAGTTAAAAACCAACATACCATTGTAAAGGAACTATATTCCAATAGAAAATAATTTAAAAACAATTAATTTGTGCATTTAGAACAATAACACTATTCCAAAGCATTTCAGTAAACATAGATATAAGATTATTTTATGGAGGTTATCTTGTTCAGTGGAATGATGTATATGTATGCATATATACATATATGTAATATGATTTACTTGATATTTAAATAAATATATTTATTAAAAAAACATCTTTTTGGAGGTATTTCTCTGTTGAATTTTAATTGCCCTGCTTTTAAAAGTTCCATTTGATTGGAAAATAGTATATTCAATAGTAGAAGCACCACTTTTTGTTTTTTAATATAGTTTCTGGTGATTTCTGGAGAAACTGGTGGGAACAAATTCACTACCAACCTATATTTGGATAATCATAGTGCAGGCTTTCATTCTTTTACCTTTTGATTGCAAACTGTTATGCTTGACTCTTGACCACTGATATTCTTTCTTATTCCTCTTGTACTTTTTCCTTTCCCCTCATTCTTTCTTTACTTTCTTTCTTCTTCCTACTTTCATCTCACCTCCTTCTTCATTTATAATAAAATGTCAAAAAGCAACTAGTTCATACTTCTAGGGAGAACTTATGAGCTGCCCATTGAAGCTGATTTATTTATCTCACTGAAGCTTTTAATAGACACTATGGATTCATTTTCCAAACAATTTGTAAACAGGACAGGGAAAGATGCACATAGCCACCAGTTTTCTTTCGCATGAGCCGAAGTTCACAACACAGTTGGGCCATTTTCTCTGCAATTTCTGACCATGTGCTCTTCTTGTAGTTGTAGGAGAAAACAGAGTCCTGAGAGCACCAGGGGCATTCATAGCAGCAGGAGGGAGTTTGATGGGAAACTTCTGAGCGTATTTAAGATCCACTCATGTAACCCAGTATATACCCCTCATCAGCAACAAGGAATCTCTGGGGAAGAATTCCAGGAAATTTTCAGTGTTTTTCTTTCACTTTCTGCCTTGTGTGTGTGTGTGTGTGTGTGTGTAAGCTTTCTATTGCTATATGTTGGCAAACAGAGCTAAGTCAAAAATCAGTGTGTTACCACCACAAAATTTAATCCCCAAATTAGTAGTTTAAAAATCATAACACCACAACTTAAAGGCTTAAAATAAAAACACTTTATTTGATTATAACTCTGCAGTTTTCCTTGTATTCACCTGGGTGGTTCTTCCACTGATGCTTTCTGACCTGAATGTTGTAGATGCTCCAAGATGGCCTTGTTCATGTTCCTTTCAGTCAGCTCTCTCTCATTCTACAGTAGCATCTACAGGGCTTTCTCACACCATGGCTGTTTCAGGGCAGTAGTTTTTTCACAAAAGCTAAATCTTCAAGGTCTCTCAACCTAAGCTTCGAGAATCATAGAATATCACTTTTCCCAAATTCTGCTTATGTATTTAAAATTTTACATGTAATACTGTTACTGAGGGATTCCCAGATGGCTCAGTAGTGAAAGAATTCACCTGCCAAAGTTGGAGACAGAGATGTAGGTCTGATCCTGGGTCTGAAAGATCATCTGGAGGAGGAAATGGAAACCCACTCCAGTATTCTTGCCTGTTAAATCCCATGGACAGAGGAGCCTGGTGGGCTAGTCTAGGAGTCACAAAGAGTTGGACATGACTAAGCTTGCACAAACTTTTACTGACCCTTTGAGTCAGACTCCAACAGGGGTCTCCCTGTCCTTGTTGTTCAAGCCAATAGAATGAGAGGAACTCAGTTCAGAAGCAAAGGAAGGGAAACTGTGTTCTTTGAGCAAAAAATGTGAGGAATGAACTGGCTTCAGAGCAGTGGTCCCCCGCCTCTTGGATCTAATGCCTAATGA